TGTATTGTCAGTGTGGTGGTCTCAGGTTAGTGTGTATTGTCACTGTGGTGGTCTCAGGTTAGTGTGTATTGTCACTGTGGTGGTCTCAGGTTAGTTGGTATTGTCAGTGTGGTGGTCTCAGGTTAGTGTGCAATGTCACTGTGGTGGTCTCAGGTTAGTTGGTATTGTCAGTGTGGTGGTCTCAGGTTAGTTGGTATTGTCAGTTGTGGTGGTTGTTAGTGGTATTGTCAGTGTGGTGGTCTCAGGTTAGTTGGTATTGTCAGTGTGGTGGTCTCAGGTTAGTTAGTATTGTCAGTGTGGTGGTCTCAGGTTAGTACGGGTAATTGTCCACTGTACGTTGTCTCAGTTATATACAGGTATTGTCACTGTGTTAGGTCTCAGGTTAGTTTGTTTCTGTCACCTGTTAGTAGGTCTCAGGTTAGTGTGTATATGTCAGTTCGTAGCGTCGTCTCAAGGTTAGTTTGTATTGTCAGTGTGGTCGGTCTCAGGTTAAGTGTGTATTTCAGTGTGGTGGGCTCTCAGGTTAGTTAGGGTATTGTTCCAGTGTGGCTGGTTCTCAGGTTAGTTAGTATTGTCAGTGTACGAATAGTAGTGGTCTCAGGTTAGCTGTGTATTGTCACCTGTGTGGTCTCGGCGCTTAGTTTGCTGGTATGTATTGTCAGTTGTAGTTGGTCTCAGGTTAGTGTGTCTGTATTGTCAGTGTGGTGGTCTCAGGTTAGTTAGTATTGTCAGTGTGGTGGTCTCAGGTTAGTTGGTATTGTCAGTGTGGTGGTCTCAGGTTAGTTGGTATTGTCAGTGTGAGTGGTCTCAGCGCTTTAGTGTGTATTTCAGCTAGTAGATGGTCTCAGGTTAGTGTGTATTGTTCACTTGTGGTGGTCTCAGCGATTAGTTAAGTATTGGTCAGATTGTGGTCGGTCTCAGGTTAGTGTGTATTGTCACTGTTGGTGGTCTCAGCGTTAGTTAGTAAATATGTCAGTGTGTGTGGTCTCCGGTTAGTTTGTATTGTCAGTGTGGTGGTCTCAGGTTAGTTGTGTATTGTCAGTGTGGTGGTCTCAGGTTAGTTTGTATTGTCACTGTGGTAGTCTCAGGTTAGTTGGTATTGTCACTGTGCTGGTCTCAGTTGGTTAGTTGTATCGTCACTGTGGTCGGTCTCAGGTTAGTATCTGGTATGTTGTCCAGTGTAGTGGTCTCTAGGTTAGTGTGTATTGTTCAGTGATGGTGGTCTCAGCGTTAGTGGTGTATTTGTCACTGTAGATGTGGTCTCAGCGTTATGTTTGTATTGGTCATGCCCAGTGCGTCTACAGTTACGTTAGTGATTGTCAGCTGTGGTGGTCCTCCAGGTTAGTTTGTATTGTCACTGTGGGTGGTCTCAGGTTAAGATGATGTATTGTCACTGTGGTTGCGTCTTCAGGTTAGTTGGTATTGTCACTGTGGTGGTCTCAGGTTAGTTTGTATTGTCAGTGTGGTGGTCTCAGGTTAGTTTGTATTGTCAGTGTGGTGGTCTCAGGTTAGTTTGTATTGTCCACTCGTGGTTTGGCTCAGCGGTTAGATGGTGTATTTGTCAGACGAGTGTCGGCAACTGCGATATGTTCATCACAGGGTGAGGTTTTAGTTTCGGACAGGGTGTTGTCACTTGTTAGTCAAGGTGTTTAGAAGTGCAATTCTCTAGACGAGAGTTGGTCGGTAAGACAGTTGTTGTTGTTTTGAGCCTCGTGGGCGTTGGTCGGTAAGACAGTTGTTGTTGTTTTGCGAGCAGCGCCGCCCCGCCGCAGCATACCCAGTCCGTCGCGTAGCCAGCAGGCCCACAGAGTGCAGCAGTACAACGCGCTCTCACAGGAGCAGCGGCGGTTTGGCAGTGATTCGCGGCTGCAGCAGAGCATGTTGCGGGCGGACGGACGCACTGGTAGCGACTCGACGCTGCAGCATTTCGCACAGGATAATAAAGGTTCGTCATTCCCTGCGCTCCCCACCACAGGCACTTGGAGCGTTTCAATAAAATATAATGCTAAATAAATACGAAATCTATTTACTACCAAAGTCTTAATGTTTCTAATTATGTATAGACTATATATTTAAGTGCCAGTGTGCAGCGTGAGCAATGGCCGCCGCCAGCGTTTGTTGCACATGAGCATTTGGACGGCATTTACAGGAAATTGTCGGCAATAATAGGTGAAAGAGAGTATAGAATTAGAAACATTAAGACTTTGGTAGTAAATAGATTTCGTATTTATTTAGCATTATATTTTATTGAAACGCTCCAAGTGCCTGTGTTCCCCACGCTTACCCCCTCCCCTCATTCCCGTCCACGTACCTATGCGTGGTATGCATCGAATATGCACATAGTTCCACATCTTCACATATCCGCTGTACACTCATCCATCCTTATACACAATGGCTGCCCATTCTACTACTCAGTATAACATCATAAATATGCACATTATCTCCAGAGGTGTAACGATACACTAGCGTCATTATACGATACGTATCTCTATATGTAGGTCAGGATACGATAAGTATCGCAATACACAGACAGAAGGATAAATATTGTAAATTGCATGCTATTAAATTTGACTTAATGTTTTTTATTAAAATTAAATTTATAATAAAAAAATGGTACAATACCTAGAGTAAACAAACACTGATGTATCGGTGCATTGTTACACCTCTAATTGTCCCTGTCATTTACCAAATCGCCCCCACACCCCGGTAATGTGGGTAGATTGCTAAATGTGTTTTTATCAAATTATTCTCTTAAATTATTCTGTGCTTCTTAAAGTGTGGCTCCCAAAGTCCTGTTAGTTCCTAATGTCATGGATCTTCTTGTTCCCCTGTGTGAGCCAGTCATGGATATCAAAACCTTTGCCTGAAATTACAATCAGGAGTGATTGAGAGCAATGGGAAGCTGTATCCCCATCATCAAAACCCCACCCTTGCATCTACATTGTAAGATCGTGTGCCGCTCATCTCTGCGTTGTGATTTACAGGTGGCAAGGCTGCGAAGGTTAGTCCACCGCGACCGTCCCTATCACAGCAGAGAGTGCAGCAGCCACAGCGATCCATACCTGTCCCCAAGATGAGTCCTGCTTCCAAGCTAGCCGTCCATGTTAGCCGGATCGGAAATCCTCGAAAGTGAGTTGCATCGCGTTGTAGCGAGTGTGCGTTCTCACTTTAGAAGCGGTTGATGTATTCATTTGCAGTAATAGCAGTGTCGTGTCTCAGTAGAGAGAAGTCGTCGTGGCCAGTCGGTTGTGTGTAGAGTGGGAATCGTTAAATTGACTACGTCACGAATTTTCTATGGTAAAATTTGTAAAATTTGTGTTGACATTTTTTTACACTAAAAGTAAGAACTAACGGGACTAAACGTATCGTCAAATTCTTACCTGATCAGATTGTTTCTCAACTAGTTAAAAATCCAAAAAACCTGGACGATTTGATATTAGTGTTCCTGACATTAATTGCTTGCTATAGGCTATGTATGCGTCACGAGTGTATGTTCACATCGAACAATATAGAGGTGGTCTCAGGTTAGTTTGTATTGTCACTGTCAGTGTTGCGTTGATGTAAAATGGTTGATGTTTAAGCGAATGTTGCACCGTTTGAAATGATTTGATAGTGTTTAACTACTTAACGTGGGGAATGCAGGGGCACAACTATCCCTTGCCATAGTTGCATTGCAGTACAAAATGTTGTTGGTGTTCTTAAAAGTTTATGTCCAAAACTGACATGGCATATTTGCTATAGATTTAAAGTAAAATTGTGGTATCAATTATTTGTAAGAACATTTTTTGTCATATCGTGCATAGATCTGTATTCTGTACCAAACCATAGTTACGTATTTTACTGAGGCTGTGGCAGCAGGGCTAGTCATTGATTTTCTAACAGATTGATGCAGGAAATTGTTTTTAAAAGTCATTAAGATAGGCCTAATGGATTTCCCCTTGATCTCTCAAGTATGGTTGATGTTCCAGTATGTAAATGGTATAATGATATCAAATAAGATATTGTATTCCACGTACACTCGCTATAAATCCGCCCTAGATGTTCATTATAAATACATTTTCCATTTCGTCCACAATAATAATTTCCATAATAATAGGGTTTTAATTCTGAAGGTGTGAGGGAACAGTACATTATTTGCTTTGTTGTGCATGCGTGTGTTAGGAGTGTTAGTGTACGCCTCCATGCTCTGTGTTCTGTAGGCTTGGCTTTCACATAGACGTATTAAAGCCACAATATGCGCATCTACACGCTAATTTCTCTAGTACTAGACTAGCAAATACTTCCTGACATGCATAATCACACTACCTTAAATGACAAAATAAACTCTAGTTCCTCCCATTTCACTGCGCGTTTGCTTAAAACCCACAAGAAAGAGGTGCGAAATCTGGTAATCTGGCGCAAACGCCGAATTGTTTGCCAAGCAATTTCGCCCCTAATCGGTTAGATGACGTCACATGTTGCTACGGGTGTTGAGCAGAGAATATAGTCGTTTACATTTTAAGATAGTTGTACTATTGTGAACTGCAGTGTATGTAACATCAATGGCTATTGGGAAAGTAATAATAGGCAGCGTAATAAAGCATAGTTTGGTAGCTGGCCTGAGCTGCTCTAGCGTCAGTAGGAGGCTAAACTCGCTCAAACAACGAGAAAATGGCACGCACATTTTTCTCGTAACGTGAGCTCGAGACTGTCTAGTACAGTAATCATGACTGTCCTCCCCCCTCCTCTCGTGCTAGGAGCTCAAAAGATAGATTCGAGGACGTTCACGCGACCAAAGAAGAAGAAGAATCGCTCGTTGCCGTCGCCGGACAACCAGCCAGTGAGGATGGCCACGGACGTGCCGACCAGTAGCTTGTCCAACATCCACGCGCTCGCCAAGATGCAGGAGGAGAGTGAGTACAGCATGCTGTGTTTAATCATCGCAGTCTGCACTCATGTGGTGCACACACACACACATATATATATACATATTTCATAAGCGTGTTTTCATATGCACTGGGGCTTGGCTGTATGCACATGGAAAGCTCGTGGTTGGTCATCTGTCGAGTGTGTACAGTTGGCAGATGTGTTTTCTGATTAAAAGTTGGTACGAAATGTGCAGCAAACATGAGTTGCATTTTCTACAAGTTCAAAGTTGGCGTGAACTTATTGAATTTAACATTACGATAAAAGTTTGCATGCGAAAAAGTTATTTGCGAACCGATTAGTGTTCTGTTAGTTCTTCTTAGTTCCGATTAGTGTTCAGTTAGATCAGTGCTATACTTGTTTTTCCCCAGACAGTGAGGTGAGAAACGTTGGTGGCATTAACGACATTACATCCTCATTAATTAGTAATTAATCATTTGAAATGCTTTCATCTCGCGAGTACGCTGTATTTTAAAGATAAAAATGTAAAATAAAGATTTAAATTTAAATTTAATCACGATGTTGAGTATATGGAGCTGTGATGGTGCCGGGGGGGGGGGGACACGTAGAGGGCAATCAAGCATGTGCAGTGAAGCTCGACAGATGGTAGTTGGAGTGCACTGTCGTATATTGAGACAAAAAGCCTTGGCTGGGACTAATGTGTGTGATTTCACTGCATTAGCTTACAGAGCTTCAGCATATAACATTAATGCCTATAGCAGTCTCATAAGGGGACTTATGTTGTCGCGATAGACAGCATTAAAGAATGTGTGCGTTGAGATCTCAGTGTTCATGTGCATGCATACGGGAACCCACGCAGAATGAGAAATTGTGAGAGAGAGAGA